GCTGATGGGTTTGTCAGAACCATCTTGTCAATTCTAGAAAGTATTCTAATATATTCTTAAAACACAAAATGAACTAAATTAACACACAACCAGTGATTTGTATATTTAAATTCCTCATAGTTTTGCTTGGCTTATAACTGATCCTATTTGATTTTTATGTTCAGGATCCAAAGGTTTGGTGGTTTCCTGTCATGGAACAGCGTCGGTCAAGCAAACGTTAACGGGCGGCTCGCCATGACGCGCAGTATCGGAGACTTCCACCTTAAATCCAGCGGCGTAATCGCAGAACCGGAAACACGTCGACTCTCGGTGAGTCCTGTCCAAACTTAACATCATTTCCCAGTCAGTTTGGATCTGTAGACTTCTGACAGCTAGCAGGTTAGGTTATTTGCTCTGGATAATCATGTCACATAGACATCCTCCATGTCTGCAGGTCCAACATGCAAATGACTCCTTCCTGGCTTTGACCACAGATGGTATTAACTTCCTTTTGAGTGATCAGGAGATCTGTGATGTCATCAACCAGTGTCAAGATCCCACTGAAGCAGCAGAGATCATTTCTCAGCAGGTAGATCATTAATAAAGCAAAGTAATAGGCAATAATGCTAAAGACGTGCAATGCAAAATCCATTTATTTTGGTATATATTTGCAAAGGACTGTAGAGAAAACATTAATCTAAGAAAATTAGAGATAATTTGAGTATAACTGAGCTTCAACCTGTGTTGTTCTCAGAAACCAGAGATGGTCTGCTACATCGTAGATACATCCAGTAAACTGACCCCTTTAACACCGCAAAACAATTACAGTCATTGAAACATATTTAACCCCTTTAACTCTAAATCTTTAAGCATTTGTACATTTCTAGGGTTTAAATATTCTTTTCTTTTTGGGCTCTTTGCATCTGAACTTTGTTTATTAATAAATGACAAATTTGAAACTTGATCAGTCCAGGATATTATCAGCATTTCTGTGAGAAACGAACGTCATCCAACCCAAATAAGTGGATAAAATTCTGTTTCAGGCTCTGCAGTATGGCTCGGAGGACAACGCCACCATCGTCATCATCCCATTTGGAGCCTGGGGGAAACATAAAAGCTCAACCAAAATCTACAGCATGAGCAGGAACTTTGCTTCGAGTGGCAGATGGGCATAGACAAAAACATACATAAAACATCAACTCAGACAATCATCTTAATGTCACTTTAAGTAACCCCGATTTTCCTAAATTATAAATATTGCCACACATAAATCCATCCAAACTGCCACCCACCAGCGTTATCATGTCCCTTCCCAACTCAGTAGTCAATTCTGTAAATAGAGTGTAAAATAATAAAATGTGTATATATATATATGTATAAATATAAAGATTTAATGAAGTGTTGTTCCATATATCAGCTTTGTATCATTAAATATTGAGCCTTCAGAGAAACCTTTTTAGTATATTAATATTTTTCCTGAGAGCTGGCATGGAGTTTCCAGCAATTATCAAGATGAAGGCAAACATTTTTACCCCTCAAAATAATTCAGGAATAAAAAAGCAGGTTATTTTAATCAATACCAAACCCTTTGTTTAAATTATGAGTTACATTATGGTTTTGATCTTCTACTCATTGACCACCTGTAGATGTTAACCATGATATCTACCTTAAATGAATACTAACCCTGAGCTCTCTACAATGATAAAGCTCCACAAATTAAACAGTAAAACAAAACTGTTGCTGCGTTGCTTTATTTTCTTTATGCTGTTTTGATGTTTAAGGTGACGGCATTAAGCTCAGGTTGTAATCAGTCAGACTCTGAATGTTTCTTTAGAAGTTATACCAGTGCAGGTAGACTGAACTGTTATTTTGTCCTCTATTATATCTTCCTGTAAAAATGACTTTAGTGTAGTTTTTAAAAAAAAGTATCTAATATGATCTTTTAGTTGCTTTCAGGCCTGACCAGGACTAACTAGTGTCAGAAGGGTTAGTTTCCTGCTCTTTTACCATGAATACAGAATGTGAGCAAAAGGATGGTTTTCCATTGGCTTGGTGAAAAGGATCTTCCTGGATCTGGAAAGAAATTAAATGTCTCTGCTTTGCTTTTCACCATCAGTGATGGACTGAAGCTTTCTGTCAAGAACTCTGTTATTGTATACTGTAAACATGACACCCACTTTAAGGTTTGTTCACTTACCTGATCAGTGTTTTAGCCAAACAGGGTCATTCAGATGTCAAGGCTTGTGCAGGGAAGCATGGAGAGACTTTAGTCAGTTAAGTTACATCTGGATACAAACAAAGGTTTGTTTATATTGGTGGTTGTTGGAAGTAATCAAAGGGCTGAGAGAAAGAAGGAAGGCAGAAAAGATGTGACACCTTGGTGCTTTGTTGGGAGTTTATTGCCATGGGGTACCTGCTCTACCACTAAACCTTTCATTGCCTCAAAACTAATCAAGGTACTTCTCCTTTATGGAGCCAGTGTCATGATTTAATGCAAAGATCTGACCCACATGCAGAAAACCAAACAGAGAGGCCAGGGGAAGGTTTAACAGGTTTATTGAGAACTGGTAGGGATGGGTCCAGTGCTGCTCTGAACACTGGCGAACCGGAACTGAAAAGTGAAGGGAAGTTCCTGCGGTTAGTTCAGGCTCAGTGGGAAATTTGAGCTTCGATTGCAAAGGGAATTAAGGCAACAGGACTCACATTTCCAGAAAAAGGTGTTGTTCTCTGAATCCAGTCGGTGTGGGTTGTTCCAGTAATAGACTTGTTCCCTGGAGGGCGGACAGGGTTTACCCAGGTTGAGGTGTTTCCTTGAGGAATGTAGGAGCTGACTGCCACTTGGATTTCCTATGGTACTTGAACAGTTTCTTGTGGAGATGAATCCCCTGTTCAAAATGTAGCTCAAACAATCCCTTGGGGAAAAGTAGATCCGAACCTCCAGTTTGAATCCCCAGCTCAGTTTGAAGCTCAGACGATCCTTCCGGGGGGAGAAGGTCCAAAACATCCAGTGTGCAGGATGACTTCCTGCCGAGAGGCAAAGACAAAAACAACAAGGTTAGGCTCAGGTTGGCAAAAACTCAGTTTGACTCAGCAAAACTCAGCTTGGCTAGAGTACCCAAAACTGGCAAACACACTGGCGTCGAGGTAGTGGCAGTCAGCAGCTTAAGAGTCCTCCGGTAATGAGGTAACCATCCGCAGGTATTTGAGAGGGCCAACGAGAACCAGGCGCCACCTGGTGGTGGAGGGAAAACACACAAAAACACAACCCACACAAACAGGAGGAAAACAATTACATTAATAAAATCACAGGCACTGCAAACAGTAATCAACAGATGCCTTCAGAAGAGGCTGCACATTGGCTGGGAATCTTTGGTTCCCTGTGAAAGAGGATGTGCTCAAAAGATACTTACTGTAATTTGACTATTCTGCACGCAAGGCAGTTACAGATATTAACGAACAAGCTGTGACCTGAATATGGATAATATATGTATGTATATATGTATTTACAAGTTTAGACGGCACTTTACAGAGACAATTCAACCAGATCATACAGTCAGATCGATTCAAAGTTTTCTATCTAAGGAAAAAAAACTGCTGATCGCATCGACTCATTTACTCAAGAGCAATCCCTCACACCAAGCATGCTTGTAGTGACAGTGGAGAGAAAAACTCCCATTCACTCCCACTCAACAGGAAGTACCCTCAATCAGAACCAGGCTCAGTGTGAGCGGCCATCTAACAAAACCAGCTGGTATCTGTCCCTCAAATCTCTTGCATAGGTAATGTGGATTTTTTTATGTATTTAAAATGAATGGCTTCTTCTTATAAACGATGCCTTTTAGCCCAATTTGTTCCAGGACTTATTTTTTTGTAGAAAAAGTAATCCACATTTTAACATTTTCACAAGTCCCTCAGTTTGCACCAAAACACTTTGGCTTTGTGATACTTCCTAAATGGTACAACTGCTACCAAATGTTGGGCAAGACTTGTAGGGTTTGATTAAATTGACTTTACAAAGTGCCTTGAGATGATATGAATTGGCAACAATTCACAACATGTGTCATGCGTTATTTTTTTTTATTATTAATTGGGTGAAATAAAAAATAATTATTAAATTCATTCATTATGGCATCAGAAAATATAAATAACTTTGGTTATCCTAAGTAAAAAAAAATACAGTAGGGAGAGCAGGAACAATAGTTACACAGGGGGAAGTTTAACGCATCATTTTGGAGGTAATGTTCTGGATAAAAGGTAACATTTGTTTTGCACTTATACACTAGTAGCTATGCTCCAAGTTAAAATATGGCTCTTAAAGCAAACAAGCAAATATTGGTAAAGCTAAGTGAGCAGATAAGATAAACAATGGCTGGCTATGGTGGGTTATAACGACCCAAAAAGTATTACATCTTTCCCTGTTATCTATTGAAAATTTAAATAAGGATTTGACTCTCTTTATTTGATTAATTTAGAGCTGGTTAGGCAGTGGGAAAGGAAGACAAAAACCAACTAAAGAGCTTAAACCATCACTAAGACTCTATATGTAGGCCAAAAAAGTTAAAATGTGCTTATTATGTTAAAATATGCTTACAATGTTGTTATTTACCAACACTGTCATTCTGATTTACATTATAAACACAAGACACACAAAAAAAAACCAATATATATTTTTTGTTTTTTATCCGATCAATATGCTTGTTTGCTATTTAGCTAAATAATGAACAATGAGAACTGATACTGTTGAGGTTTTTTTCTTGTAGACTCTCCAAAACACACACCTAAAGTCTGATGAGGAACTTGAAGAGACTTAAATGTTGTCATAAATATTAGCAGACTGTATAAAGGGTTGTTATATTTCTATAATACACTATACAACATTGCCTCTGTCTTTGTCTGGTACAAAGTACCCCAATATGTACCAAGAGGGTGGATTGAAAGAGGAGGACTGTGTCTTTGACATTAATGCAACGACTCTGTTACGTACTTACAGTGGTGGACTTTATACCTTCTGCAGTAAGCACGTGTGGATATGTTGTAAAAACGTATGAGAACCATGGTGTCCTGTAAGACTTATATAGCATCCATGCATTTCTGTTGTTATGTCCAAACATTAAGGTGGTGCTGGCTATAGAAATCTGATTCAGAGATAAGTTTGTCATGAACTTTCTCCTGGTTGACTAAATGCAGACCCTCCTTCTCAGACGTCCAATCACGTTGCAGCATTCTCAAACCCAGTGGGGGGTTCAGAAGTTGGAAAGTAAATATAGAAACCACCAAGCTTGACTGAATTCTGTCATATGACCACGAGGTGGCATTTGAATGAGCAACAAGACACACCCCCTCCACCATAACAGCACCTTTAGGAAGCCTCTAGGGGGTGACCTTCAGGATTTGCTGCCCTGTAAGTCGGTATGTCAGAGTGTGTGTGAGGAGGTAGTCTTGTTTTGGTAGAAGCAGTTCGTATTTCAGAGCTTTAAGGTGGTATTTTAAGACATGATGTTAACCAGTCATCACTTTCCACCTTAAAGTCGTAGGGAAATCATATTTAAATGTCAAATCATTCTGTGATATAAATGTTCTCTTTATCAAACGATATTGTCCCAAAATTTAGAAAATGTATACTTGTAAAAAAATTATGTCTTAAAATCTTTCTTTTTTTTTTTTGTCTTATTCAGGCCAGTTAGTTATACGTCAGCTTGTTCACCTAAATTCGGCCAATCATATATCAACGGTCATCTGTCAATCAAATTTTTTCAGTCAAACATGTAAGGCTGTAAGCCTTCTACACACCAAGCTTCTGCCGCCCTGGCGTCCTCTTCCACAACAACTTCGTCCCCGCTTTCTTCCTCTAAATAAAAAAAGTATGACGGAGGAGACTCATCCACGACCTCCGACACTAAACTCTCCTCCTCTTGCTTGTTTCCGCTGTCCATAGCGTTCCTTGACAGTGTCGTTTCTAAGTCACCAATTTAGTGCTACTTGGTCCCAATGGAATTTCCCATTGGGACCCTACTAGCACTAAGTTGCTAACTGGTTAGCAAGATGCTTCTGACAAACCGGCCATTCACATTCAGTTTAATTACTCGTGTAAAATTGTGCACCACTCAGGAGAATTCGGAACTGCAACCATTGGAACAGCCGCTTCCCTACGACTTTAAGTTCACACAGCCCTAATCTGTTGTTTGTTTTTTTAACGGGGAATCATGTTACAGTGTTTGCCACTGTCTTTAAAATGGACTAGTTGGAGTTGTTGTGCGTAGTGTAGAGGAAGAGAGGATGTCCAATATACTGAGGCTATTGATGCAGCCGTCCATATCAGGGTTGCAAGCCAACCCATTAAATGCCAACCGTCCTTTATTTTGCAGTCAAATATTGCGTCACATATTGATAAAATAAGGGACAAGTTTTTTCACATGTTGTCATAAATTTCAAATTCACATATCTGTCTCACACATCAGTTCTACATCTAACAAAATTTGGATAATAAAGCTCAGTAAATATCAAAGCCAACTAAAGTCCCCGTGGTATCTATGCAGGACCTACTCAGCTTCGCATCAGCTGCTGTCATGGTTGCATACAGAAAGTAATTCCTTACCTACACTATCATTGCTAATGAAGGATTTTTAGCTTATTATGATTTTTTACCTCTTTACTAAAGGCAGCAGCATAAAATAAAACATTATTCTAGGACGTCTCACCATGCAGATTGGGGGGCTTGGGCCATGGGAGTCCCTCAGTTTGAATTTATGAGAACCCCTGTATAAGAACGTAACCACATATTTTACCCCCATCCCTCTGAAATAAAGAACACTAGTGTCACAAGATAAAAAATGTAAAAAAAAAAAAAAAAGTTGCTCATATTAAAAACAGATATTTGCAATTGTACAGTATTACTTGGTTCTTTGCGCTGGTTAAAAAAAAGTCGTTTGAAAAATCACCAGCTGAATTTTTTTCCAAAGTAAGATGCACTGCCGCCCTCTATAGGCCGATATCTGTACTATACACGTCCAAAAAAAAATATAATAATACATACATACACACACATATATATGTATATATATATATATATATATATATATGTATGTGTGTGTGTGTGTGTGTGTGTGTGTGTGTTATTATTAAATATATTTTTTTTTAACAAATGAATGCAATCCTCTGATTACTCTTGCTATAAACATTTTAAGGTGGAGGCATTGTTCCAAAGTGCATAATTCAAAACTATTCCTTAGGTTATGAAGAGCATTTTCTTTTTTCCACTACTCTGAATGAAAAACTAAATTTGACTTATAAGTATAACTGAACTGGAATGTCTGTCACTCCCCAAACCTTTCTATATGATTAAATAAAATATTTATTTACCTGTATGTAAAATTGATCTTTTTATTTTGTAAGGAAATTTGAGAATAGATTTTTTAATTCACACACTTTATTTAGGTTTAAAATGTTCCCTCTTCACAAATTTTGTTTTTTGAAATTTACCTTTAAAACTGTATGGTTTGTCACTTGACTAAATGTTTAAGTAATCTAAAATAAATTGGTTATTGGTTTAACCTGTTTTCTTGACTATTTTGCTTGTATTTACACAGTGCGGGTCAAAATGACCCGCAACATAATGAATGTTATTTTTTTTCAACATAATATAAGGGTTAATAATTGTTGCTCCACAAATAAACTGAACATAACAGAATATTACTTTCCGAAAAGATTGCTAACAATAAATTGGAAATGTATCTTGTTTTTTAGAGAGGTGTAGCAGATTACCAGCTAATGAGTTTTATATCATTATTAAAGTCATATCAACTCACATAACCCAAGTTTTTCTACCGGCGAAAATCTGACATGGAATGACACATTTTTACCGCCAGAGGGAGCCAAAGCAGCACAGCATGACAAAGAACTGCGGCGTTCTAATGGTTTAGCCTTTTATTAGTTAGTTTATAATACAAACAATAATACAAAACCTACACATAACACGTTTCTCTATTTTTCTGTATTAATTTTAATCTGTTAAAAAAGTTCTCTGTTAAGCAGATCATTGTTTATCTGCATCCTGACAAGAAAAAATAGAGAAAAAGAAAGTAAATCTAAAGCTGAATCATGAACAGATATGTGGAGGATCGCTGTAACTGTGAGAACAAGGAAACTGTTCAGTAAAACAGAGTAAATGAAGAAACAGGATGCGAGTATTTCATGGACTTCCTGCAGAGTGTAGGGTGAAAGCTGCAGCTGCAGACCCGCCTCCTCTCTCTGCTACCCGGAGAAAACAGATCAACCACCTCTGCTTGGCGCTCTGCTCTGTCTGCTGCATTGCTTTTATAGATTCTCTTTGAAAACTACAGTTAGGTGTTTAGGATACATTCGTTTTCAGCCAAATTTAGATTTTTCTCCTGTATATAATTATTTTTAAGCATGCAACTTTATCCAGGATGTGTATCCAGATGTTTTCTGGAGGAGATTTAATCATCCATTAGAAGGAGCTGCAGCTGGGCGGGGCTTCAGACACGTGCTGAGACCTGAGGACTTCAATTTACTGCCACACTGATCTGGAAAGCATCAAGTAACCCTTTTGAAATTTTCTAATGCTACACATTTTTTGGTAACACGTTTAAAATTGGATAAGATAAACAGAGTAAATACAAAAAGAAGGTTTTAAGAAGGAATTTTCTTATGTAAAGTGTCAAATTCTATGGAGGACCAGCTGTACCATATTTAACCCTTTATAGGGAACTCAGTGAAATCGCAAAAATGTATGTCAAAGTAATAACAAGAAACACCAACTTGCCCGTATATATTTTGAAAAATAACAAAAATGCTTTTATAAGAAATTCATGAAAAACACTCTGAGATATAAACTTTTTTTTTTTGTTTGGTACAACATAACCTTAGAGGCATTAATGCTGATACTGGCACCTACATTTTTTAGTTTATAAGCTAAATATAATTGTTAACTGGGCTTATTGACTTTTTAACTTTTTAATTAGCTTTTTACCTTTTTTCTTTTTTTCAACTTAAATTACAGTAGGAAATATATCATTCAAGGGCTCATCTGATTGGTCAAATGCCAAAATAAGATGTAAAACCATGTAGCAGCATGTTTGCTGAATGGCTGGATATAGATCTTGGGCTTCTAGACCTCACTGAGGGACAGAGTGGGACTCCATTTGTAAGGGGTATGCAGGTGATCAAAAATTGTAACTTGCCCTATAAAGGGTTAAAAATAAATGCAGAAATAAATAAATGCTCAATTAATAAATATGCATACAATTAATTGCCCTGTGAGACATACATGTATATGTCTCTTAATTAGCTTCTTTAATATTTATCTTATTTATTTATGTGCATGTGATAATATTTTAGTTTTTTTAAATTCCTCCTTTGTATTTTTTTACCCTATTTATTTCTTCAATATTATTTATTTCTGCCTGCAGTGAAATGCTAACCAACCAATGGACAGAAGTTGACTCTAAAACGCAGCATAATGTTTGCATAATGAATCAGAAATGCATACAGAAATGTAAAAATGAGGCAGAAATAAATAGGGTAAAAAAAATACAAATAAAGAATAAAACAGACAAAATATTATAACATGCACATAAATACTTAAAGAAAACAAGTAATTAATAAATAAAGTTGAAGATTATAACGGACAATAAATAAATAAGGTAATTATTACAAAGTTGAAAAAATAAAGAAGCTAATTAAAAGAGATATATATCCATTTATGTCTCACAGTATAATTTAATTGTTTATTGTATTTTTGGGAGCAATTAATTGTATGCTTATGTATTTATTGAGCATTTAATTATTTCTGTATTTATTTTTAAATATGGTAGAGCTGGTCCTCCATAAAAACCAAGCTGGCTCTATGTCCAAATGTAATTTCCCATTTTAAAATCGATTAGCTGCGTTTTACTGTATTTTTATTGTATTGTATTTTAATTTCGCAGGCCAAACTCAAGTCAGATATCTATAATGAAGATTTTTCTTAAAATTTAAAATCTTTTCTAATCGATAGGTGTCAGGGGGTTTTTTTAGACTTAGACGTAAACAACTTTTATTGTCATTTTGTTTCTACAGAGTGTATACAAAACGAAATTTAGTTATTTACAGCCTTTTGTTCAGCCTTTATAACATTTTTTTTCTTAATGTGCAGCAGTGATCAAATGCAAATGGTGTACGTGAAAAAACATGGTGCAAAAAACGCATTTATATGGAAGTTCAGAGCATTAAATATGTATGGTGCAAATATGCAGTGTTTTGGATTAGTTTTATCAGTGTGTTGCAGAGTCAGTGACATGATTAAGAGTTTTTGCAACAGTTCTTTTCGATTTTCTTTGCAAAATGTAAAGCAAAAAGCTCTGCGTTTACACCTTTAACCTTCCTCTCCCCGTTTCTCTCCTCAGAAGAGATCACTCTGAATAAACTCTTTAAATAACACTTCATAATCTATATTTATTAAATAACCATGAGACAGGACAACAGATTTTGATAGAAACTGTAATCTTACTCAGACCAGAGAAGTTGTTTATAGATACTGAAGGCTGCACTTACTTACCAGGCTCGCTTCTCGCTGAAGTTTACCCCAATCACAGTTATAAAATATTTTTATACACCCAGTCTGCCACATCCTTGTCATTAGATCATGCTTTTTGTTCATTTGGGGATCCAGCTTATCAAACTATTACTCATTGTTCCAGATAAAAACACAGAGAACTCTTTAAGAAAGATCCAGTCTGTCTGTGCCCCTATTTCATTCCCAAATCTCTGTTATGTACATAATGAACATGACAACACTACATCCTGACAGAAGAGCTGTCCTAATTAGATAAACTACTTGGAAAAACATTAGTTTTGACATGTAGCAGGCAGGTTTTATTATGGTTTAACAGACTCACACATCACCAATAAAGAGAATCCTAACCATAGCATTTTCCTTTAAAAATAATAAAAATAAAACTAATTACATAATTTTTATGCTGCTTTGAGTAATTTTATGTTTGTTAAATAATCTGAAATCAATCTGAAAACAAAAATGTAGGTAAAAGCAGCAACACATTGTGCCAATCTAAAAAAAAAAATTTAAACAGATGAAAAGAAAAAACGGGAGTGGTGGTGGTAGACGGACTCATCCAGGAGATCACATCTTTATCACTACAGCCCTTATTTAGCTCTGTTAAAGTCAGAGGGGAGGAGGCAAAAATGGCGACAACTGCACGTCTTCAAAATGGTAACCATTTCTAAAGTACAGGAACCCAAAATAACAAAAAAAAAAACAACAAAAAAGACTTCTACTCAAGAAGTGTGACAGCGAAAGCAAATACTGGTATCTGGCCTGGCTCCTTTTAAGGTGGCATATGCCACCAGCATACCCATTTCAATAGGGCCACCTTTAAGACTGGTATGCCTGTTTCACCAAATGCTCTACATTGGGGCTGAATGCCATAATCTGGTGGTATTGACAATATATTTGCACCAATCTTTGCCTTGGTGGTGTCTTTATTAACAGTGTGACTGAGCTTTCCTAAAGCGGCAGACTGTTATCAGGATTACAGCAGCTATAGATGGTGGGTGATATGCTAAGCATTAGCCTAAGCGCAGCGTATGCAGGGGTAGACAACATCTGTGCCACTGTCCTGCAGCTTCCTAGCCTGGGTGCCATTCCGAACTTAGTCCCGCCCACAACGTTTGAGGT